TAGTGAACATAAATTTTTCGCCGGTACTTTTTCTGGCAGGTAATATATCAATTGTTAAGAATAGTACGCCGCGCTACTCGTGTCCTTGTATTGAAAATTTACAAAATTATAATAAGCTCCATCTATTGTTGTATAATTAACTTAAAACGAAATGTAAACATTTAAATAAATTTCAATGTCAGCAGTTGGCGATTAATTTAAATAAAATAAGTTATATTGATGTGAGGTATTGAGGATCTACCAATAGATGACGTCAGTGAGATTATTTAAAAAACGTTTCAAGTAAAGTTGCAACTATGTCTACTCTATATACTTTTTAATCTCTTTGTAAATCCAGATGCATTTGGTATCTTTGAGTAGTGTATGTCGCGTTATTTTCATCCAATATCACTATTGTTTTTTTTTATAGATTGTACATAAACTTAAGATATTTCGTCACGTAATCAACTTCGAATAAAGCCAATTTCTCTCAGCTATGTTACAGTTGCGATCCGGGAAATATCAAGCCAGGGTCAAAGAAGTTGAACTATTTAAGATGTTTCTGTTGAATTTGTCTCTAATTACAAGTTAGATTTCAAGTAGGAATTTTGAGCAAAAAACTCTGAAAATGTTAAACTTTTTTAGGATTAATACTTTATTTCGTTCTAAATTATCGAGGTGAACGGTTTAGTGACATAACATGGAGGCAGCCGGTCGTGTCAAGGGCCGTATCACATTTTTCAATGTTCCCAAGAGAAATAGCCCGACGCGCCCGATGAAAAAGTGACAAATTCTTTGTGCACACATGGAATGTACACCCTTTAAAAACGGATAGAAAAATGTCCAAAAATAACACGAAAATCGACGGCGAGTACTCTGATATTTTTGGGATGTGACCAATAGTATAGTTTAAAACAAACATATTGAACAAAGATACCTTGTTTTAAATGATACTGCAAAGATATATCTAATTTAGATTTATCGAAACATTACTGCCTAAGACAACCGGACAATCTGGACAAACTGGTAGAGGTTGAAAAAATCGAGGGCAAAAGGTCACGAGGGCGTTCACCTACCCGATGGACCGATCAGGTGCAGTCCATACTGGGACTCAACATCCCGACTGCCCTGAGACGAGACAGGGCGGCGTGGAGGCAGCTGGTAGATGAAACGGTAAAGGCTTACCAGGGCAAGCACGACCTTCAGCAATGAGGATACGAAGAAAGAAGAAGAAAGTACCTATGATTGAAAGCGCGCACATATTGACAAAACTATCGCATAACAGTTTAATCGCGCTTTAAATTCTATTAGCTTATACAGAGGTTACACTACTCGATGTTTAGTTGGGCAACTAAACAGTTGAATTGGCTTCGAAACAATCGACAATCACACTATAGTTATGCGATAGTTTATTCAAAGGTGACCGTCGCCTTTCAAAACTAATCTTACGTCACTGATATCGACCAGTATTTCGTCTTCGAGACAGATTTACCATGAAGATGTGAAATCCTTAGAAGCACTAATTCTTATTGTATTCCCACTGATATTTCTATAACGTATTATTATGGTGATAGCCAGGTTTTTAATTACTTTTTGCTTGTTAAAATTGGTTGTATAAAAAACTTGAAAGTAGTTTTATTTTCAACGCAAGTATAAAAGCATTTTGTTTATTTCGTGACACAGAATCCTGTACACCCGCATAGTAACACAATGGAGGCCAGTGTATCAAGCTCACAATGCTTTTAAATAACAAAGAAAAGGTTTTCAAATTTTCTTTTGTGTAATTCTAACCTTACTAAATATATTTTATTTATTTATAACTATGTATAATGAAGACGACGGAGCATAACTAAACCGTCAACTAGGTTTTCTAATTCAAAGTGAGTACTCGTATGAAAGCATATTCTTATTCCACTAAAACTCTTAAAAGAGAGAAATAATTCTTCTTTGTATTGTTCGTCAGTCGTCAGTGGAAATTGACGGTTAGATAATAAACAGATGCTTATTTACACAACAGGTAAATTTGCTTCACGCGATACCGTTAAGCGCCCTCTGTTATTTACGTAATGAAATATGTTACATTTAATATGAATGTTTTAAATGAAATTAACGCCATCTATTAATCAATACTTGCAACTTTAACCTTTTCAAAATGGTTCTGAAATTATTCCAAAGATGGCGTTGAAAAAAATTCAATAGTTTAAAAGATGTAGTTGATTATTACTTACGTGACATAAATTTATAGCCTATTTACAGTCTGTTTCCCTAATATTTTACACTCACTTTAAATTTTGATCACGTAACAATCTCGTTCAAAACTTTCAAACTTCAAATACAATTATATAAATTTAATTTACGCCTTCACTATAGTTCAAACTGATTTTATTTCAGTACTTTCTAACTTTATGGACATTGTTAGATTAATCTATTTGAAATGGTCATTGAATTGAAGATTAATTTGTTTGTCGCCGCGCAGATCGGATCGGTACCTCGGAGATGAATAATTGATCGAATGCAAACACACCGGAACCCAATCCGTCGTGTTTGGGCGCACCGCGCACTATAAGCCGAATTATATTACACTAGCTATTCCCGTGCGGCTTCATCCGCATAGAATTATTAAAAAAAGATTTTATTGTTTACATTTGTCAAATCAAATTCTCAATTGCAAGTGTCAAAATTACCGTTACCATAATAACCTTGCTACCTTAATGTTGGCAGCTTAGAGTTTACGGTCATTGCCCACACTATTATTTTTTTCTAATTTAGTTGTTAGTGTAGGGATTTGCATAAAAGAAAGAATTATTGTGTTGTGTTATCCAATGCAATTTTATATGAAACGTGCAAACACAATTTACATATTCAGTGTTACAATATATATTGTATTGTATGTAATTAAATAGATTCTTTCTTATCTGTAAAAAAAGTGCCATACCAATAACCTTTTTATGTATAAACATTTAGAGGTGCAAATTCTAATTATAAAATAAACATTTAAGATCTACTTCCTATCTCAGTATCTTATAAAATAACAAAACATCGTTATGATTTATGAACAAAACACACGAAAGGCACATAATGACGACAAAACAACATTAAACTCAATTAAGTAGCGTTTCCCTGAGGATCTCGTGGAATGTTGTTCTTGTTACGCAATGAACTTAAATTGTTGGTCTAAAATACAAGCTTATCGCAGTAATATTAAAAACTAGCTGTTGCTCGCGACTTCGTCCGCGTTGAAATAAAAAATAATAATAAAAATATAGCCTACATTACTCACAAATAAATTACGTCTCCAATTACGTATTTCTACCTTGTTCCCGGCTTGTCTCAGAGCTTCTTTCAAATTTTCAACTTCTTTACTACTCTTTATTAGTTGCATTCTTCATTCTTCATTCATAGTTCATAGTTCATAGGAGGCAAAGAGGAGAGCCACGACCACGAAGAAAACAGGCGTGAATTAAAAGCAATTCCGCGTTTCGTCTGATGAGTGTGGAGCCGGAGGCCTAATTTTAGTCTATTTCCTTTTCCACCCTTTCTTAAGAGGTAAGGATAGAAAGGAATAGTGGATTTGACGGTGGAGGAGACGCATAGGAAGGGGAAATAACCTCTTTATGTGCGTCTACTCCTCCGTTAATAAAGGGTAGGAACCACATTTGCAATTGCGGATGTTTATAGGCAGCGGTCTCTTTCCATTCCTTCTATTCAAGTGGCCGCTTGCTCGTTTGCCACCTTATATTATAAAAAAAGTCATATTTCACAATTGTCAGCATTTAAATTGTTAACCGCAAAAGTCTTTATATTAAATGACGCATTATAAGCTTCCCTTTGACTTAGGGTCAGTCTCCTGAGCTTTAATATACCATGTTTCGTGATAATCACTACGCATAATGTGGGTATTATATATCTTGCGTGTAATAAATTACGTCTTGTAAGTTAAAAGCAATTAAAATTAGGTATTTTTAGAATTAAGGATAATGAAATATCTATACAAATATGAGGAAAACTTTGTTTGTTTGATTGTAAATGGGCTCAAAAACCGGACCGATTTTAAAAATTCTTTCACCGTTAAAAATGTAATGTAATGTAAAAATTTGTAAGTAACATAGGCTACATCATTTTAATTTCTTTGTTATTTTTAAATTTCACGCGGTCAAGTTCGGGGGAAAAGCTAGTGTAATATAAAAGTTGTTCCTACGCAATTAGATAATTCTTAACCTATTTGGCTTATCACCGTTAACTGTGTACAAAATTTCACAAACGTTGCCTTCAACCTCAAACATACAAAGGAACACAAAAATACGGTTTTAATTTCAATAAATTTATTATGAAAACAGAAAAATTTCCTCCATAAATAAATCTAAAAAAGGATTTTGCTCTTTTCATGATAATTTATTTAAAACAACAAAGGCATTTTCACTTGCAACGAACAATACATATTTTAAATTTCCATAAGTTCCCTAGGGGTACATAAAAACGGACGAAAGCGTATTAAGTGTTAATTACACATGTAAAGAGGATAACTCCCAAGTGATATCTCAGTGAATTCGCGTGGATAAAATTTCGCTATTCTCATTAATGATTCATTGTTCTTTAGTTGAAAATGTTTTGGAACATATCTACTGTACTTAAGCCCGCAACACACGTTCCATTTTATCTGAACACAATTCAGATAAATCTAAAAAAACAGAACTGAACGTGTGTAGCGGGCTTTAACAATCTCTTCATAGATGTGCCGTTTGAATCTTTGAGATTAATTACTGTTTTATATATATTGATAGAATCTATACTAATATGTCGTTTATGTGCCATCTGTACTACATTCTCTACATATAATAAAATTGGAGTGTCTGTTTGTAATATCAAAAGAAGATATTTGCTTGCTGATAACAAAAATCGCATTGAAATATTTTATGTCTCTCTGTCCGCTAGTCGCGTTTGTTCAGAATAATCTCCGAAACGGCTGGACTGATTTCGACCTCACTTTCACTAAAGGGTAGCTGACATAGACGGGTCTATTATAGGCTACTTTTTATTAATATTGCGTGGATGACGTCGCGGGCAACAGCTAGACTAAAATAAATTTAAAAACAGAATGAACTATATTTGACGGATGGGGAATTCAAGGAAGGGGACATATTTTTCTATGCGTCCTCTACCCAATTGATTTTAAGTAGGCAACGCATCTATGACTTGATCACTTCGCTATTTTAGCGAACTCATAATGCAAAAAGAACCTTTTTTGATTTAAAATAATATTGTGACATTGTATGTCGTTACTAGTGTAACTGGTTATTGATGTGTAAAATGGTTACTAGTTAAAAGCTAAAAAAATTCACTCCATTTACCGAATTCACTCAACTCTCGATGATAAAAAAAAACTAAAAATTAGTCAATAGAATTCTGCCAAAGCTCGTGTCGGCGGCCATCATTTTTTTTTGGCCGTCCATTGGAAACGTTTACCGGTTAAAATGGCACGTATATAGGACCGTTTTCGTTTTTTTTCCTACGTATGTGAATTTTACATGACAGTATATGATACATTTTAAAAATGTTGAAAGTTTAACATTTTATGGCAAACGTTTTGAAAGTACTATTCCTTTTCTAACGCAACTAAAATGCGCTGTTTTTTTTTCTTTTGCTATTTAACAGCAATTTACTATAACATTCAAGACTAGTAAGCAAAATTTTCATAATTTCATTTAGGACTTTCTCCAATATGTGGTACAGTTCCTGTCCATGTTATCTTCGCGTCTTGCCATCTGGAAATTAAAGAAAATCGATTAAAACCCAAGAATTAAAAGCATCAACTCTTAGGAACTATAGAGAAGGAAACTGTCTGTTTGGAAAAAGAAGAGTAAAAGAGGTAGAACCTCACATTCTTAGAGTGCGCGCCTTTGACTACTGTCTACTGTCGCACAAATGTTTGGTCTCGCTTTGCTTTCTATGAGTTTATATGGAGATGGTTGTGTAACTAAACAGTTGAATTGTCTTTTTTTATTATTATAACATAAGGTGGCAAACGAGCAAGCAGCCACCTGAATCCGCCAAAATGGCGAAGCGACCGCTGCCCATAGACATCCGCAATTGCAGATGCGTTGCCTACCCTTATCCGACAGAGGTGGAGACGCACATAAAGAGGATATCTCCCCTTCCTATGTATCTCCTCCTCCGTCAAATCCACTTCCTCTTGCCATCCTCTCCTTATAAGAAAAGGGTGGTAAAGAGAAAGGGACTTAAATTAGGCCTCCAGCACCACACTCATCAGACGAAACACGGAATTGCTTCTATTTCACGCCTGTCTCCTGTGTGGTCGTGGTATTACACCGGGCGTGCCGGCCTTTTCGTGCTAAGATGTTAAAGCGAGTCTGCGCGGTTTGTGAAACAATCGACAATCGCACAACTGTTGTGCGATAGTTTAGTCAAGGGTGTGCTCCCGCTTTTACTTGGTATGAATCAGTTTCTCCAAGGGCGTGGCGCTGATATCATCAGAGCGCAGGCCGCTAACGACGTCCTCGTGGCTTCTGGTGTCCACGTTGAGGACCACGTGGCAACCACCGCACGTGTAGTAATTGATGTCGAACCTTGATAAGATATCCAAGTTAAGTTAAATCTACATAGGTTAAGAAGATTTCAACAGATCGTTATAAAACGGCTGTAATCTATGTATTGCTTTGTTTCACTATAATATTTGTTGAATAGTGTTTTGGTTCCTCATCTATATTGTACTAATATTGTAAAGTGAGAAGATTTGTATTTTCATATTTTTTGTATTTCTTGTAACATCTCAAAAATACTAAGTAGATTACAAAAATTCTTTCATCATTAAAAGCTACGCCATCACTGAGTAATATAACCTATGCTTTTATTAATTTAAATTCCAGGCTGATAAAGTCGCGAGCTGCAGCTAGTATGTATTTTAAAAACTTATTAAAAACTGTAAGATTTCTCACCGTCTTTCTGCATGATAATTCCTGAGTAATTCGCGATTTGTGTTAAACAATATTCCGTAATGTCCAGAACAACAGGTAACCTGAAAACGATCTACAATAAATAAATATCTCAATCTCTTTAAATATGTAAACAGTATCGGATAGACGAAGTTTCACTTAGACCTTTCCGTCCTAAAGTAAATATTAATGAAGGCTCCAACCACATCGCTAGCAAAAATATTTTTAGTTGCGATATTTTCCGAACCCTTTTATCTATCGTTGGTAGATTAAATCTAAAATTGAATGCTTACAGGATTTCAGTTAACAAAAAAGAATTATTCAGTATCAATTTGTGAAAATAAAATCGATTACTTATTCAACCATAATCTGTACAGTGAATTCCACAAGCTTTTTTGCTGTAAATACCATTTGTTATTTATTATTCCTCTATCATGTTACGTAGAACGTTCATCTAAATTTTACTTAAATGTTTTTACTGGTCTGAATTTTTTTTACCCATATAGGCAATGCAGGCGTCTTCAATCTGGAGCCTGGATGTTGCTTGGTGAGATGACCGGTCCCATTATCGTCACTCCCATACCAGACAAGTAAACCCACTAGACTGCGATACAGTACTCCGAATTGTGGCATGGCCTGAAAGAAGAATCTAATTACTATATTCCATTAGAAGAAAAAGTACTGCGCTAAAGGATCGGCGCAACACTAGATAAATGGCTTATACTTCCCAGGTCTATCTGTCAATCAGAAGGATTCAGAATAAGCGCGCCATTCTAGTGGGAACAAATGGTCTGGATGTGGAAGTTAATTACTTTGTTACAATTATATTAATGCCTAAACATTCGTAGACCGAAGAAATACAGAAACTATCATCTTTCCGTCCTTGCTTTGTTAAAACATTTGAATCTTTATAAAGCTTTGTTTTATATTCAGGTAATGTAATGACTACTTATGCTGGGACAAAATTGTTTTGATATAAACACAATCTACTTTGTCTTATCCAATTCTTTTGAATGAAACTGGAAATTGGTAGAAAAACATAAACAGAGCAATAGCTGTTTTCATCCCGCACGAATGGTTCAGTTTATCTCTATCGGTACTCTATCGTTTACTGTTTTGCCAGACAATTGATGTTGAAATACAGCGATGGCGATCTCGATGTGGACATAGAACTAGAATTTGTGACAATCTATCGAGAGACGTAAACCGTATTTATGATTTGACACAGTTACTTGTGTTTGGCAGCTTTATGATCAAGATAAGCTAAACTATTATGCTTTACAATGATTAGTAATGTATTTTTAATTTAAAAGTGGGAACGTATGTAAGGGTATTTCCAATACATTTGATCTTATACTCTTCAATCTACTAATCTCACTAATGTTAGAAATTTGGACGGATATTTGCTAGAAGTTGAGGCCTAAACAACTCGACAGATATCGATGAAATTTGGCATAGACGTAGTGCATAGTCTGGAAGAACACATAGGCTACTTTATTTCTTAATTCTTAGCGAACGGTGTTGCAGGCGAAAGATTTAGTACTTTATTTGTGCTACAAACTAATGAACGAAACTAAAACAAAAGAACTTTTACTTACATAATGATCCTCATCACCTACATACATAACGCCATTATGTAAATACGGAGTTGCTCTTCCAGTAAGTATCAGCATTGTCACATTGATGGAACCTTCCACTTGAGTAGATACTAAATAATTCAATTTACCATCAAGGTCTTTCATGATGCTGGAATTAAGAAAATATTAAAGGAAACAACAAAGTAAAATAGATGGAAGACTTAATAATCTCCGGATTTCAAATTGCGTAGTAATTATGAACAACTTTATACTCAAAGTCATGTTGAAATGTATCGATCAAACTTAAAAGCCAATTAGTTCTCTTTGAATTCGTCGAGCTTCGTTGCCGTCTATAAACGATAAAACATCAGCCTTTGAAGTTATTAACTTTGTTACCAAAGAAGGGAACATAATCTACTTAAGTGATTATAATGAATTACTACTTACTTCTCACATCCTCTGGATAACACAGCAGCATAAAGAACTAACAATGCACCAGCACCTTCATCTAGTTGGAACTAAAAATTACGAAATAGTTTTGAATATCCTGGTCAAATCTCAGTAGTCTACTAAGTTTTGACTATGCTAATCAAATCTCAATAGTCGACTGGTTTTGTCTTTGTCTAGTGAAATCTTGATAGTCTACTAAGTTTTGACTGATCATCATCTTCCCTGCCTTATCCTTCTCCCGTAGGGTCAGCGCACCAGATTTTCGTCCTCCAAATAACTCTACTGGGTTTTAATTATGCTAATTAAATCTCAATAGTCTACTAAGTTTTGACTATGCTAATCAGATCTCAATAGTCTACTGAGTTTTGACTATGATAGTCAAATCTCAACATTCTACTGAGTTTTGACTATGCTAATCAAATCTCAATAGTCTACTGAGTTTTGACTATGATAGTCAAATCTCAACATTCTACTGAGTTTTGACTATGCTAAGCACATCTCAATAGTCTACTGAGTTTTGACTATGCTAACCAAATCTTAGTAGTCTGCTAATAATAGTTAAGTAGTTTACAGAAATACATACCACATACAAGTACCGCTTTATGAAGATCTGCAAATCTTCCAGCTTGTTGAATTCAAATAAATGCAGCTTGAAAATATTTTAACAAATTAAAAAACCATGTTCGGTAACGATACGAACAATTGATATCGATAAATAAAAAATCTGTAGGAATGTAGTTTTCATTTTTATATTCTGTAGAATTTAGTTATTGGACATTCATTTTTTATTTTCCACTACTCTCGTTTTAAACTAAGCGGATTGACCCGAAAAATGTAACGGCTTTTAAAAACACTACATACATTTTCTACGTTTTTTTTTTTTATTTCAGGTATCATTAGATCCGTGTTTTAGGTAATATTTGCTTTCGTTAATATTTATTACTAGTATATCACTTATCTATTGATGATTAATTCTTTAAAAATCTACACTTTTATTTGATCTCAATCTCTCTACATTTACTTTACACTAGCTGTTCCCGTGCGGCTTCATCCGCGTAAAATTATAAAAACTTTATTTTATTGTTTAAATTTGTCAAATTGTCAATTGCAAATGTGAATATACTATAATAGTATAGCTTTTATTGTAACAACTAACACTGCTTGGTGATTCATTACACAGGGCGCCACCCTAGTTTGGGCACCAGTCCCCTGCCAAAGGGGAAAGTTAATAAAACTATTTTTTTTATTATTTTACTGCTCTTACCTTTTCAGTAACTCCATCCTGATAATACTGTGCACTATGTTGCACGTACGTTTTCTCCGTAGGCAGGGCAACAGTAACCTTTGTCTCTGGATTTTGTGAATTGAACCCGCCGCCGCATCGCCAAATCACTTCACTACACGCCCGCCAAAGTGCTTCCTCCTGTCGTTCGTCTGACGGACGCAAATAGCTGTTGAATTGCACAGATTATACAATGTTAACTATGTTAAAATATATGAAAGCATTAGCTGTTGCCTGCGACTTTGTACACGCTATATTAAAATAATAGGGCCCAGCCGTTTCGAAGATTACCGGGGACAAACGCGGACAGACAGACAGACAAAAAGAGATTAAATGCGATTTTAGTTATCAGCAAATACACCATCTTCCCGAAATCTGGATTTTTTTTATATTGCAGACACTCCAATTTTACAAATGAAATATACGTTAATGTGGAATTATCGTAAATAGTTAAAGATACAGGATGATCTCCATGAATCCCTTCCTATTATATTTCGATAGAAATTATACCTGAACTGAAGTCTTAAGAAAAACAATTGGATGCTTCAAATTTTTGTTTGTTATTTCTTATGATGTGTTTTAGTGATGTGTAGCACCTTGGATAAAAAATAGTAAAGAAAAAGTTACATATTCCCTTGATTACTATGCGCACTTACATTTCTGCCGCAGAAAGAAACCGGGCTCATTTATTTTGAATAGGGCATGATTTTGAAAAGGCCACGACGAAGCGTAAGCCATTTTCAAACTGTAGCCGCGTCGGGTTTTATACATAAATGTCACCACCAGATTTGGAACTTCGGAAGTTTATGAACGTATTAATATCAGAAAGCAAAATTTTAACTAAATGAACTAAAGTTAAGTGACCTTAAATGGTTTTGAAAGTCGGAATTGAAATGGTACAGATTAGATGACATAGAAATATGGTTATCTATTTACTAAATACAAATCATCATCATCTTCCTCCTAATCCTACTCCCGTAAGGTCGGCGCGACGTGGTTTTGTCCTCCACATAACTCTATCATACGTCATCTCAGTCATCACTCCCTTTTTGATCATGTCATCCTAAATACTAATCATACTAATATTGTAAATGCGAAAGTTTAGATCGATGGATGAATGAATGGATTAGATTAGACTTTGTAGCCTAATCGGCTGAACAGATTTCGTTGAAATTTGGTATAGATGTAGAGGATAGTCTGGAAGAACACATAGGCTACTCACTTTTGTTTTTTTTTTAATTCCACGTGGACGGAGTCGCGGGCGAAAGCTAGTATCTAATATTTGTAACGCAATTAAAACGGTTGCATTTGTTTACTGCAACGGATTTCCAAAGCGAATTTAAATTAAATCTAGAAAATACTGTAAACTGACGATATTTGTAATGTTACGGTAACATACACAGGTGTCACTAGAGACGATGTAGCCTTTAAAATATTTATGCTTTTATTTCACTAGTACTTACACCATAGTTTGTCTATTATAAAACATTTTTACCCATTAACATCTATTCGTTTTTTTTTATTTACATCATAAGAGCGCACACCTGAAACTAAAATCGCACAACTGTTTAGTCTTGCTTGGATTCCTATGAGTTTATATGGAGATGCGCACACTACAAGATTATTAGTTGTGCAACTAAACAGTTGTATTCGCTACGAAACATGACAACCGCACAAAATAATTGCGATACTTGAGACAAAGGTGCTCTTTTAAATAATATATAAAAAAAGGATAAAATATCTCAAACCTTTCAGGTGGTTCCGTCGCCTTATTATCTTTAGTCATTGGTCTGGAATCGAAGAGTAGCCACTTGATGAGATGAGCCTGTAGACCGGATAGTAAAGATCTGGTTCCATTACGAGGTGCAGCTAAACCGTAAGCGAGTGGCTGATCAGGTGCTCGAAGGACCAATGGAGAGTGTATCCATTCTCCACGCGGAGGGCAAGCGGCTGTACCGAAAGTTGTCATTCGAAGCTCCTAAAAAAACTACTGAATTAGGGTTGTACCACAATCATTTAATGTTAATTATCACTATGTATGTATGACTAGTCTATACATTTCTTTAAAGTCTTTGACACTTTCTATACCTTTCTTAACAACAAATTTTGTAAAACTCTTTTAAATAGTAAAGTAACAATTTAAATATCAACTTAGATACATTTGATATGTATTTGCAGTACTTACGATAGCAAGCTCCTCAGTTATAGGTTTCCCGCCTGTCACAGCCGGCTTAGAAGCCGAGAGAAATTTATTTCTTGCATACAGCACTCGCTCTGCAAATAAAGTGAAATTTATTAGTTCTATGTATTAACATACATTTGAATATTCCCATGTACTCTTGGAACGGGAAATAGAAACACAACATTTACACGGAAATACTCGAATTTAAACACACTCTTACGAAGCATATTAATTTCTACAATTGTTAAGAGAAATAAGCATTAATTTCCAAATAACCGTAAAATTCTTCTTGGGATGTTCCTAGAACATTTTTTCTTAACATCTTTCTATGTCCCGAGTAAATCGTTTGTTAGCGCAAGGAATTAATTTCAGATAGTTAAATTCATGTTAACCGGCTCACAAATATGTCAATGAAAAGTGATATGATTATTTTTAATAAGATAGTCACAATTAGAATATCTAAAACTTTCAATTACTAAATTAAAAGTAAGGCATAAATCTTAAAAGAAACTTAGACTCTCGTCTACGTCCACACATTTACTAACGTTCAATCGATGCCATATGGAAGTATTGTAAATTGATTTTAAATAAATCGAAGCTCCATCCAATGCCAAGATCGTATTCACAATGTGACATTTCCTTGCGGCGTTGTGAACGGCATTCGAAGTAATTGCGTTCGTGTCTCACGCTTCTAACGTCAGGTGTCTATTACTGCTGCATTTCATACATGTAAACTTGATTTAAATCATACTAATATTATAGATGCGAAAGTTTAGATGGATGGATGGATGTTTTTGTGTTTGGAGCCTAAACGGCTGAACGGATTGCGATGAAATTTGGTATAGATGTAGAGGATAGTCTGGAAGAACACATAGTTTTTTTTATTCCACGCGGACGGTCTCGAGTGAAAGCTAGTATGTTTAAAAGACTGGTATATTAAACTTTTAAATATTTAGATATCTTATACACTGGATAGCATAAATTAGAACCCTAGAAACGCTAAAATGTCAGTGGATCCAGGGATGTAATTGAAGAGTAACTTATTAGGAGGATAAATTGATGGGTGTATTCACTTCGACTTTGACGTGACATATTTTATTTTATGAAAAAATGATATATTAAAAAAACACTTAATTAAATTTATAAATGTAGTTAAAAGGTAAGATGATGTCGACAGCATAAGCAAAAGATCTGAAGATTGAAATTTATAAAGTCGTCTTGACGGGGGACGACCTTGTTAGGATAGTCCTTTCGAGCCCTATTGACAAGTTGGATCACAGCGGTCTTTAGAAAAGTGCTTTTAAAATATTTTATTTAGATGTTGCTAAAACATGAAAAGTATTAACGTAATAGTAGTCTAACAGTAATCTGTACATACCTTCTAAGTGTGTTGGAGGACGTTCCTGATTTTCCCGCAACATTTTATGATATTTTAACTAAATTCAGATGACAAACACTTTTGTGCCGAACTGTACACGAAGGTGACAAAGTGCTATGAATATTCTGGGAATTTCAATTTGCACTTGGAGTTGATGGAATATCGTATAGCGTTGCAACACGTCAAACCGTTGTTGAGTGTGAACTCAAAATGGTTGCAATTTAAGGTGTTTACTGTGGTAACCGTGAAATCTCGTTTATTGCATATGTGCATTGCACGAACGCTTTTAGTGGAAAAGCGGCAGCGTCAAAACAAACACGACAGTCTGATTGATACACTAACGCTGTTAATGAGTTTTTGAAATTAACTAACCAAAAGCATTGAGAATGTCGGGCTTATTGTCAGTCAGTAAATAATTTTATTTAATGAATTTGGCAAATACAAAAGTCTTAACGCTACAGACGGTATTAAAATTAAATAAAGAGTAAATTAAATGAATATCCATCAACATAATTAAGCGCACAAATTAAGTGCCAATAGCCTTATAGTTTGGGGTACGGACTACCGAGATCTTGCGGTTGAGAGTTCGAATTCCGCCATTCGACTATTGTCGTGGACCATATCCTAGCACAAGCTTAGTTGAAATGGTTAAAGGAAATATAAATTAACAAAAATCTACTAACATTTAAAAAAAATGTTTTACTAAAATGTTACATGCAACGTTTGATACCTTAGGCTTTAGCTGGTTATAATACTCTTAGAAAAAGTGTTCAGGAGTGCGCTTGGTGTAGTGGACTTCTTTGAATACTCTAAAATCCAGTAAAGATCATCCTCTATTTTATTTTGTGCATTATTACTTTCATATTTATTACTCTTATAGGGCTACCAATTAAATTGAATTTTCCGATCATGCGAAGAGAAATTCGCTGCTTATTGCAAGCTCACCGCGTATCGACCTTCTACTAAATTAACTTGGTATTTGTAGCCATGACTCTCATCAACCTTCAAACTGAATACCGCCGTCGATGTATAATATGTACATATGTATGTATGTATGTATGTATGTATGTTGTGTGCTTTATAGTACTAATGAAACAGCGTGTAGACGTGTTCAAGTTAAAAGTATTTTTGATATAAGATTGGTGTAGTAAATGCACAGACGAATTGAGTACCTCCTTCTTTTGGGAAGTCGTTCAAAAATCAACGTTTTGTTCTATTTTCTTGTCATAATAAATATAGAAATTAATAGTGTTCACTCTAAAAATTGTAGATATCTAAACAAATGCAGATTCAAATTTCCTTGTTCATATGCGTGATTGCACACTATTCGTTGGGTGCAGGCATTCCATCTGATGGTATAGTTTGCACCGTTAAAGGTTTAAGTCACGCTTGAAATTGAGTAACTGTCGATACATGACTTTAAAGTTATGCTTAGTTGAAATTCAAGGTTTCTGGATTCATAATAGTAATGTACTGTGAATTATTTTCAAAAATATTAGGTAGATTACGGTAAAATAATCCTAATTAAATCATGAAGTAATTAATTGCAAACTCGTGGTATTATCATCGTCTGTGGCTGAACATAACAAAGGTAGGTCAGTTCGTCTAAATAAATAAAACATAAAACACACTTTATAGTGGTAGTGCCCGCTTTAACATCTTAGCACTGCAGGGCCGGCACGCCCGGTGTAATACCACGACCATACAGAAGACAAGAGTGAAATGGAAGCAATTTTGTATTTCGTCTGATGAGTGTGGTACCGGAGCCCTAATTTAAGTCTCTTTGTCTTTACCATCCTTTTCTTAAAGGAGAGGATGGAAAGGAGAAGTGGATTTGACGGTGAAGGAGATGTATAGGAAGGGGAAATATCCTCTTTATGTGCGACTCCTCCTCCTCCGTCGGATAAGGGTAGGCAACGCATATGCAATTGCGGATGTCTATGGGCAGCGGTCGCTTTGCCATTTTGGCGGATTCAAGTGGCCGCTTGCCCCTTTGCCACTTTATGATATAAAAAAAAAACTTTAGAAATGGAAAGATCTTGATAAGTATCAATTGAATATTTATAATTCTATAAACATTGAAAAAACGGTCTCAAGTATACACAAAGTTTAAGTAAAACAAAGTTTTCGCACTTGCATAACGCGGCGCGAGCACGATTCGTTGCAAATAGAAATAAGAATTCGACAGCCGCAGTTGCCTTGCTCGCTATAATCCGAACACCATTTTGCACTTTACCAACAGTCGTCAGGTTTCACATGGATCTACGCAGCGTAAGTTTCGCATCGCATCACACAAACGTAGATGTATGCAAATGTTTTTACCGCTCTGTAAACGAGTACCTAATTTATGTGTTTGACAATTTATTTGATAAAACGTAGCTTAGTTTAATGCTTCATATGAGACATTTGATAAATAGTTCGATCAAGCGATTTTGAGCCACCAAATATTTATTTTTATTATGCAGTTTAGACATTTTTTAGAAGAAAATGAACAAACAAATGAATGAAATGAATACTACAGAATTTTGATTAGTTGTAGTAACCCGTGTTTCAATCTATTGTTTTATTTTAAAACGTTAAACTTTACCGTGAGTATTATATTGTGTTTTTAGAGCATAAAAATCTTAATATTTAATTTTGAAATTGTAGTAGAAGTTGCTCAATTTAAGGCTCATTCAGGCGTCTTATAGCTTTAGGTGTTTACGACTAAACGACTTGTTACTACCCTCATAAAAAGCCGCATGTAGTCTTTATATTGAAGTCTTTGTGACCATAAACGTCTATATCAGACGTTCTTAATGTTAAGGGTCTATGTCTATATTTTTAATAATTTATTGTCTAGACCCGAATTTTATTACGATAGCGAAGGGTGACACCGATAGAAATAGACGTACAAAGAGATGAATGGATTGCGTGAAAGGTGACATGATCAAGAAGGGAGTGATGACTGAGATGACGGATGATAGAGTTATTTGGACTTGGACTTGTACTTCGACGAAAACGACGAAAACTCTGTGCGCCGACATTACGGGGAAGAATAAGGTAGGGGATATAATGATGACTGTTATTGCGTTTTCACGTAATCACTTACAGAAGCTTAATTACGGCAACAGATTTATAGTTCTCGTGTCTATGATCTATATGAATTTCAATTTATGTTATCTTACCTTCGTACATTTTCTCCAAATCGGGCGACAAAAGTAACATTCTCTTATCAAACTCTTCACCAGTCATATTCTTTTCTCTTTTCTTTGTCTTCATTTCTTCATAGTTCAAGCTTGTTCGGCTTTCGGGAATTTTGTTGTACACAATAAATTTTGTCAGCTGATCCATTTTTAAGAATATATTAGATTTAGAAAACCAACAGACAAAGTTATCTATGTTAAAGATATTAGTGATGACGTAATCAACTTAACTAAGTTAGGAATAGATTCGAGATGAGCAAGTTGAATTGAAATATAAAGTATTAAAAACGAAGCAAAGTGAATAGAAGTAGCTTTGAAAGACGAAGAGCACGAACGAGCGTTGCTCAATTAAGAATACAGAGAAATGAAAATTGTTTTGCTAAAACTTTATGATACTTGAGTAACTTTGCACGAATCACATATAGCTAAAGTTACATAGGCTATAAAGCCGAAATCAACACGGTTTGGTGATATCAAGCAAGTAGTAAAGGTAGAACGACCTGCAGGTGTGAACGCCGCAAACGACAAAATAATTCTGCGAAAACACGACATGGTGTAGAATGCTTATGCAAATAACATTTCGTATCCTACATATGCTTGAATTTTAAGCGACTTGACGAATTTAAACTTCCGTGTAGTTTAATCGTTTAGACATAATGTGGTTTATCTGCTTGAAATGCAGCAGGTAATTTTCCATATTCTATTTACATTCTTTAGTAAGAACTAGTAACTACTAAGAATATATTATTTGATTTTTAAACTTACCAGATTTTTGTTTTTGGAGTACACTAATTGCTCTCTATCAGGATGTGCATTTGTTTGTTAATTTAAATAAACTTAACATCAAATTAATTTGAATTTAGAGCGTACCTTTTGAATCGTTTCTTTTTGTTGTTAACACATTTTTCCATCTCTTGATTTCTTTACTCATATTTTCACTTGTTGAATTTTTATTATCATGTATTCGATTAATTTATGTCTGTGTTAACATTTAAATAATATTTATGTTAAAATGGTTAAAAATCACTCACTTTTACTATAAAACTTGTAACAATTATACGTTTTTACTTTACCATGCAAGGATAGACTACACTCGCAGTGAGGTACAAATTGAAAAGAAGTTAAGCCTTTTGTATAGCGCTTGGATATAATTTGTACGTATGCTTTTCAAAGGTGTTGGTATTCTCGTTTTTATAGTTGGATTAAGCGTGCTTGAGCACGCCATATTAAAAAGTATTTGCATCAATTAACAAATAAAAATTAAGAAACTTACAAATGTTTGAGGTAAAGGGATATTTAAAATTAAGTGTCTTTAAAAAGCACACATCACAAAGTTAAACAACATGTTAAATTATTCCTCTTAAGCCAGTTTGTAAATAGGTAAGTACTATAGTGTTTTAAATAATGTTGCAATTACATTATAAAAAGATTTAAATTTAATATATCACAAAGTAATAAAGTATCAATACCCTTTGGTCATAGTATAATTCGATTTAAGGATCGCAAAAGGTTTTTATAGTAATAAAGTTTAGCCTGCGGCGTTACTCGGTTATATAATCTTCTTATTAATATAAATAAACTTAAAAATGTATGTCGGTTAAGTATTTTTGGTTTTTATGAAATAACCGTTTTTAATATATAAATTGTGGAGACTTTGCAAAAGATAACTTCATTATTATTTATTGAAACATCATCAGATGTTTTAAAAAATATTGTAACTTGAGCCAAAGACAAATGTTTATAAATGTATGCGGGATTCTTTCTGTTTAGGTTCTAATAAAAATCTGATTCGTCGTATTTATCTATTTATTTGCTTTAATGTTATAATTAACACTTTAAGGTCACGCGCACACACCAGTCGTCTTGCCTTCCAATCTGTCATCTGTCAAACTCCCCTCTCACTTCCTTCCCCGCACATCCGTTCTGTTTCACACCATCGTCTATCGTTTTATCTTCCAATCCTACATTTATGTAAATAAATACGTAAGTAAGGAAAGTATCCTCT